CATTGTTAATTTCTTAATTGAAATTAATTTGCCAATTAACCATTATCATAGGTCTGCGTGTGTAGGAGAAACATAGTATATCTAGGTTTCGACACTATCTGTAGCTTCAGGCATCCACTGGGGGTATTAGAACATATCCCCTGTGTGGGGACTACTGTAGATAGAGTTACCATATCTATCAACAATTCCACTCCTAGGTATATATCCAAGGGAAATGAAAACATATGTCCACTCAAAACATGCACATGAATATTCACAGTAGCATTATTGATAATAGCCTAAAAGTGAAAACAATCTAAATGTTCATCAACTGATGAATATATAAACAAAATAAATTATAACCATACAATGGAATGAAGTAATGATACATGCTACAACATAGATGAACACTGGAAATTATATGGTAAGTGAAAGAAGCCAATCATAGAAAAAAACCACATATTGCATAATTCCATTGGTATGAAATATCCAGAATAGGCAAACATATATACACAAAATAGATAGTTGTCTAAGGAGGATGGGAGTCAATGATAACTGGCATAGTGTTTCTTTTGGGGATGATGAGAATGTTCTAATTTGATTGTGCCAATGGTTTTACAATTCTGTGAATATACTAAAAACCATTTTAAGTGGCTAGATTTTATACTTTAAATGGGTAAATTTTACGATTTGTAAAGTGTATCTCAAACAATTTTAAAAGGTGAAAAAAAAAGCAACGGAAATTCTTTCACTGGTATTTGACAAACTGAACAGGTTGATATGGCCTTCTAAGCTGTGGAAGTCTCATGTTTGAAATATTTTCTTCTGACCACACTCCTATAGGCTAGGACTCCTGGCAGTTTCCAGCCTTCAGGAATTCTATGCCACAGGAACCCTTTTTGGGTGGGGTCTAAGAAATGCAACAGACCTAGTCACATACCAAGAAAAGAAAAATTTATTGGAACCTGGGACCACAAAAGATTCTCATCTCCATGTCTAGGGAACGTAAACATCCAATCTTGATGTTTCTCAGCCATCACAGAGCAATAGTATCATTTTCCCCAGCTGTTTTCCTACCAGCAGACTTACACAAAAAGCACACAATGTTCTCTACTGATTTGATCTATGACCTTAAAAGATGTTCTCTTTTGCTCTATGACCTTAAATATCCGGTCATTTTTTATAGTCTTTAAAAACCAGTTCTGGACTGGAAGTACTCCAGAAAAGATCCCTAGCCTACTTTCGCCTATATTTAATTGACCATTTCCCATGAATACTTTAATTTCCCTTTCATTTGACAAGATGCAATTTTTAAAAACTATAGTTAACACTTATTAACACAGATGCTATATGCTTTCTCAGAGAAGGTATATAGCATCTCCACAGCTTCCATGTTTAAAAAAATAAATACATCAATGAGCTACTTTTGCGGCTTCATCGCCTGAATTATAGCGCCCTCTGCTGCTTGGTGTTGCTAAAGACCATTCTCAGGTGAGTGAAAGGAAATCCCTCTTCTCTAGAAACTCTGGAAAGACAGACACCTTTAGAAAGAAGGACTCCATTAAATGCTACAGATGAATTCAAATGACATAAAAACCTCACCTGAATGGACTTAAGAAAATATGTACAATACATATTTAATAAAACATCTGTCCAAGAAAGTGTCTGAAACACATACACACAGTAATCCCTTTGCATGATTAGCACTCTTGGAGCTGAGATGAGACACATACTGCACCTCCACCTACCTTACCTCCAGATGTGTTAGTATATGAAGAACTGAGAGAAAGGGCCCGATTCCGTAGCGAACCACACATATCCATATCCAACTGTCCAGGCAGCCCTGTCCTGGCCAGCCGCAGCCCCAGTGCCCGGCACATACCAAGCATGCAAACCATGGCTAAATGAGTGCTTTCCTGAGATCCCAAACTGTCCTCAGCAACTGTCCTCAGAACCCCTCACCCTTCCTTGTGCAAACACTGTAGACGAAACCTGCCTACCACGTACAGGTGCTGTGGTTCACGGTGGATGTCAAGATGCAAGGATGTCTTGGTTCCTGCCCTCAATAAACCCCTAATGATAAGAAAGTTAACAAATAAATGCAATTAAATGAGCTATGACAAAATCTACAAATGGCTACACTGTCCCCATGAAATCAAAGGAATTCACAGTCCCTACAGCCATGCCATTTGTTAGTGCTAAGGGAGCAATCTTTTAAAAGAGGAGGATCCAGGTGCCAGGAATGAGTGCTGAGTGACACGTGGCAGGGAAAGGGTCATGGCTAACCAGCCAGAGATGACCCCCAAAGCCAGAATCTATCAGCCACATACTAAAATCAGTCCTAACATCAGCAACCTGACTAAATCCATTCACTGATATGGGATATACAATACCCTCAATAATTTTATCTTGAGATCACAATGGAACCTATTTCTATATATATCCCTGGAGAATGATGACATTTTCCTCATCAGGTAACCACAGTTTGCAAGTGCTAATACGCTTGCAGGCACACCATGGTAGCAGCGTTATAAACCAACGCATGGGATTTTTCTAATCAGGGACTGGGGGCAGTCTTGGCACAATTCAGAGCTGAAGGCAAAGAGACAGTGCTGTGCACAGGACACAAACACTTCCCCAGCAGGGAAATGCGGAAAGACAGATCATTACAATTAAAGTTTCCATTTTCCAATGTAATAACTGCTAAATAGTTTTGAAGGGTAAAAATGTTGCCCACCTCCCCCCTAAAACAGCCCAAATGCATTTAATATGTATCACTGAACATGTGCAAAGATTGCAGTAAATTGCTTCACAAACGCAAATTATTGCAATCAGCATCTTGTTTTCTAGTTCTAAATTCAAAGGCAAACTATTAACACAAGACTGCTAACTCTTGCTATTATCACACTTGCTATTATCACACATCCTCCTTCTAACAAAACCACATTTCCAGATGGACTGCCAAAATTAGTCAAGTGACTCCTAAGAAATGCGACCACACTGACATGCCAGAAATTCATTTAGAAGTGAATGCTTTATTTAAATAAAGGAAATATACACCCAAACACACCTTTCCTAAGGAAATACAAGTTACTTTATTTACAATTCAACGTGAATTGCAGCTCCGTGAGGCCAGTCGCAGGGAGTGGGACGAGACGGGACAGCTGGGCTGTTACCCTGTCAGCATACTGACTAGTCCTCAGAGCCCAACGGGCCGACTCATGAGTGTGGTGTGCGCTAGGCCTGCCTGGGGCTCCTGATAATAAACTCAGCACTGATAATAAACTCAACCCAGACGAGATATGAGTGATGCAGGAACTTGGCTGAGGGTGGTCAGCTCTGTGACATACCGGTTATTCTTCTTTCCAGACTGCTGTTTCCTCTGAGTTTGACGTAAGGAACACTAATTTTTGAAAACATCAATCCCTGGCAACACGTAACTCAAGGTTAGATTACTTCAGTGCATTTTACTAGCAACCATCTTATAGACAGAATTATCAGTTGCCAGGTTCATGGACCAGAACTAGCTGCTTTGTTTCAATAAGAAAAACTTAAGGCAGCAATTGCCATGTATGACTGAGAGGGGTCTGGGCTCAAAACCAAGGCAAGCTCTGAAGCTAGGAAAGAAACTGGTTCTCCGTGTCAAGGAGGGCTCACCCTGAATGGAGGTGGTCTAGATTCCTACCCCTCAGGAGGAACAGCGGGCCACAGACGTCCTTTCCAGAAACAGAAACAAGCCCTTCTATCTGGTGGCATCTTCCTGAGCACATACAACCCCGTAGAAAACAGAAAAGCCACTCACCACTGGCCGGCTTTAAAGGAAAAGTCTTGATCAGCAACAAGCAGGCGGAGCCTCTTCACAGAGGGTGACTCATTGGCTGTTCCACACACCTTAGCTGCCGTCACGACCTTGAGTCAAAAGATGAACTGGCTGAGGTTAGTGTGTACACAAGGCAAGGTACAAACTGTGGCTTTCTGGTAACTTGGGTTTTTTTAAAACCTACAAAGATGTGGTTTCTTAAAATTGCAAAACAAGGTAAAGCATGCTTTGCTTTAAAATGCTGCCTACCACCAGGTGAACAAATTTTAATTATCTTCTTTCTGAGAGACTTGTTAAAATACTAATTGAGCCCTGCCAGTGTGCCTCAGCTATTGAGCACTGACGCAGGAATTAAGAGGTCGCTGGTTCCATTCCCAGTCAGGACACATGCCCGGGGTCATGGGCTCGATCCCCAGTAGGGTGCAGTGTGTGCAGGAGGCAGGGATCGATGATGTTCCTCTCTCATTGATGTTTCTCTCTCTCTCTCTATCCCTCTCCCTTCATCTCCCTTTAAATAATAAAAACATTTTTTAAATACTAATTGAATTTTATTCTACATATAAAAACCATCTCTTGAAGGGACTGTTTAATAAGCAAGTGTGTATGTGCCACGCACCAGGCTGGGCAACCTGAGAATTGCTTAGGGAATGAAGACCTGCTGTAAGCCTGGCGTCTAAATTCTCTGTGAGTACAACCTATGCAAAGTGGAACTATGTTAGCTCTGAACCTGTGTTTGTTCTGAACCGGCAAGAAGTCCATGACAAATTGCAGAAATTAAAAGTAACTACAAAACAGATGAATACTCCTAGTGTTCTGACCTCACTGAGTTACCTTCCAGCTCAAAAACCTTCAAGGGGTAACACTCCACTACAAACATAAAAGAATGCTAAAGGCCTTTGTAACTCATACCAGCTTAAGCTCCTCTTGGATCCCTGTGCTGCTGGTTTACCAGCCAAACTGGACAGCATGCTGGTCCTCAAAGGCGCCTGACACTTGTCTACCTCCCCAATGCTGCCTAGTCATTCGGCATGTGGCACACGCTCTCAGTCCTGTCTATCAACCTCTTACCCCACCTTCCAGACCTCTGCTGGAGGCCTTCCTCTTCTCCCCATCCTCTCAACTCTACCCATAAAATGATCCGCCTTTATTATCATACTTAGCCCAGATTGATGTAATTATAAATACTCAAGAACAAGTCTTTCACACAGGCCACATGCCTTCTGAGTTCAGATACTAGGTAGAATTTATATCTATACTAACTTCTCAGGACTAACACACAGTAAGACTCAGTAAATATTTGCAGAATAAATGGAAACTCTAACTTAAAGTCACTTAAAATTGGTTTCTAGAACAAATGTTAGAAGTTTGTTAGGTGGGGGGAAAAACACCACAGAAAATCTAGATTCATTTCAAAACTACAGAAGTCAGGGAAGGCAGGTCTCCTCAGCAGAACAGGAATCTTATGTTTGCCACACAGTCGATTTTAAATATTTTACTACAAAGACAGTAAGAATTATCAGAGGGTTCTCCTTTATTACATGACTAGTGACCCAGTGCACGGATTCGTGTACATTGAAAGGAAATTAATTAGAAGGTGGCCAATGGGGTGAGACTGGGCAAGAAGGGCCGGACAGCCCCTGGAGCCAGCACCTCCCCCCCCCTCCCCCCCGCGGTCCCTCCCTGGTGCGGAGTGAGCAGGGGAGGGGGAGTGGTCATCCCTCCAGCAGGTGGGGTCCCTCGGCCTGGCCTGCGGGGATCAGGCCGAAACTGGCTCTCCGACATCCCCCAAGGGGTCCCAGAGTGCGAGAGGGCACTCTGCAAAGTTGCTGTTGTACAGGGTGTGGAACACAAACACAAGTGTGCAGTAAACCAGACTTGGGCGAACAGTGCCCCAGCAACAACATAACCCACTGCCAAAGGTGGAATCGCGAGGCCCCACAAGGAATCAGGCTCCCTCCTCTCTGGTTTTGGGGTGTGTCACCTGAGAACCGCCGCTGCCAAGTCACTGCAGCTCAGCAGCTCCTGCACTGAGTGTCTGCCCCCAAGTGGTCAGTACGCATCATAGCAACCAGTCAGACACTTAGCCTTTTATATATATAGATTACTCTCATTTTTCTTAGGTTTCCAGAAATGTTTATTTTGTAACATTATTTTCCTAAAATATGATAATCTTTAGAAACAAAGCTAAGAGCTAGATTATTTCATTTATAACCGCTTAACTGGTATCTGTCAGACTCATGAACAGAGCTAGATATGTGTAAGCTTTAAACACATCCCAAAGGGTCACCTGGTGGCAGAAAAGCCAACATTCATAATCGCTGGCTGGAGGAGGAAGAGGAACACAGAATTCCAACTGAAACATGTGAGCATGCTTCACAATCACATGCTCATCTATGTGAAATGAAATCACCAATCATTTGCCAATGTCCAAATAGAAAATTCAATGAAGAAGGGAAAGAAGCTAAATTTCTATTGAAAAAGTCCTATTTTCATTTGGTTAGTCCCTATGACCAAGAGTGTTATTAGATGCTTTATGCCTACTGGTAGTAACTCACACACTAATATATCTGTTGCCATTAGTCCTCATAATCTGGGCACAACTGTAGAAGTGGTCACACACAATATCTTGTACAATTCATGATTTTTAATATTATTTTATTTCGTTAATACAAATACTGTACACTACATAAAGCTTTCTAGCAAAGTGGATTAAAAACATTAGCAAAATCTTTTTTGAAGACCGCATCTTTATTTTATTCTGAAGCTAGTTTCACATGATTAAGATCTGTAATCATGGCCCTTGTTGTGTGCCATTTTTTTTCTTTACTTTGATTGAATAAGTAAAACATGATGGAGAAACTTTATGTTTTAACATTTGTACTTGTTCTCATACTTAACGGATCAAAAGATTTCGCAACTGAAACCTCAACTAGCCATGCCCTAAGTTAAAACACATGGCAGGAAATTAAGTTTTCCATAAAATAACATTTAGACTCTTCTACTGTTCAATAAAATAACAATACATTTGCCAACTTTTACTAGCACGCATTTTTAAGGCTTTGACGAAGTCAGCATCTAAAAGGAAATTCCATCATACTGATTTTAAAAAGCTGGATTTATATAGGATATCTTGATGTTACTGCTGCTACAACAGTCTCTGTACAGGAAATAGGTCTTTCTTTGGGAAACCTAAATGGCTTCCGCTGTTCATTCCCATTCATTTTGTTGGCTTAAAAATTTAGACAAAGCCAAGATTAGCGATGACCTGAAACAAAAGAGGGCACAGAGAATTTCAGAGTTGAAGAAAAACTTAGTCATCAAAAAATACTATGTCATTTTACACATGAGGACACCAAGGCCCAGAGCCATCAGTTCAACTGAGGCAGAATACCACTCTGATGAGTAGAACCTGATGAAAAGATACTGGTTTTACTGAAGAGATTTACTGACAAGGAAAGAGCACAAAATTCTGCCAACTGTACAACTTCTCAAGTGGTTCATGCCTGTCAATACTACATCCTGGCAAATGAATTCTTGTTCCTACCAAAGGCTAACCTATCCCCCTGGCTGATCTTTCTGCCTTCTCAAGCCTTCAGTGGAGCAAGTATCCTCTCTCATTCATCACCCCTTTCCCCCATCTCCACGAGAACACATGCAAGCACTCAGACCTTCCACCTGTAATAATAACATTAGGAGCAAACACCTTTAATCAGAGCTTACCATGTGCCACACACTCTACACACATTAATTCATTCAACCGTCACAGAAACTGTACAAGACAAGGGTTAGTACTATCCCCATTTTACATATATAAAAAAGTGAGGTCTCACAGCTAGTAAGTGGCAAAGCAGATACTGGAATCCAGGCACCTGACCTCTGTGCTTCGGTGCTTCTCAAAATACAACAGACAAAACAAGCCTCTCCCTTAATCCAGCTATCACCCCATTTCTTTGCTCACATTCACGTAAAAGTGATTCTGGCTCCACCTTCTCATCTCCTATTCTCTCTCCAACACAAGACAGCCAAGCTTTCACTCTCAGCAATGGACTAACACCAGTCATTCTGGTTACCCACTATCCATTTCGCTAAACCCAATGAAGACCTCCGCAGAATCCAGCACAGCGCCCCTCCCTCCTGGAAACTTTTCTCCTGGCTTTACCAACACCCTGCAGACTTCCCTTAGGTCACTTAGATTATTATTATCTGCTCCTCTTTCTCCTCTCCCCTCCTGCCTGACCTCTAAATGCTAACACACCCCAGGGCTGAGGCCTGGGCCCTCTTCCCTTACTCTCTATGCAGCTTAAACTTTTTATTTCCAGCAGTGACTCCAAACTCATCCACCCAACTGCTGATTTGAATTTCCATTTCAAACAACACATACAACACAGAAGCCTTTTATCTCCCAAAGCTTCTTCCTTTTTATTATTATGCAAAATTTCAAACATATACAAAACCAGTAAAAAGAGTATAAGGAACTTTCATGAATCCATGCTCCAAAGTCAACATGGTATGAGTTGATAAAACTCATGGCCAATCTTGTTTCATCTGTAACTCCATCCACTTACCATCCTCCCACCCCAGGTTATCCCAAGTTGAGCTCTTTACTTCCTCTCCGCCACGCTTGGTCTTCTCTGTGTCAGCAAATACATGGCACCATCATCATCTATCCAGAGTTCAAATCCCAAAGCCAGAAATCGCTTGGTTTCCTCTCCTCTCACTAACTACACCCTCATCTCAATTTGTAAATCCCATTAGCCTTGCCTCTGTCCCAGATCCACCGACTGCTCTCTGACCCCATCACTACCAGGCTACTCTAAGCCACATCATCTTTCCAGAGACTCTGTCAGTAGCCTCCAACCTGGTGTCAAAGCACAGCAAAAACCCAGTGCTCTACCAAGCAAAAAGGTGACCCATTAAAATGAAAATCACCTGTCATTTCCCTGCTTAAAACCCTCCCTCACCCTTAGAACAAAATTCCAACTCCTTATCCAAGCCCACAGCTGTTAATACAACCTGGGCCCTGCCTACCCCTCCTCCTACCACCTCCCTCTGAATAGGCCAATCAAGTCCCTGCCTCAAAGCTTGGCTCCTGCCAGTCCCTCTGCCAGTAATGCTGTGCACCTGTCTGGCTCCTTTCTGTATTCAAGTCTCGGCTCAAATAGTACCACTTAAAATAGCACCGTGACTGCAGCCATTAGCCTGGTTCCCTTCCTTCATAGCTGTGGGAACCCTGATCAGAGTACGCTGGATGTTCAAGGCTAATTTGAGTGTGGGGGCCCTGTCCAGAGTATGCCGGATGCTCAAGGCCAATTTGCCATATGCAGGTGCAAAAGAAAGGTCACAGCGATTACTGTACGCAATGCGCAGGCATGCCTTTCTGTAGCCCAAGTATTGATGTCACTATTTGGCAAGAAGCCTCTTTTGTCTAAGTTGGTATAAAGATGTGCTGCTGACCAGCCAGTGCATGGATGCTCAGTATGGCTCCTGTATTAACAAGAGCTGCTGTGTGCAGCTACGTTGTAAGGCTACTTTGAAGGACTGCTTATGTGATGGCTCCTTGTTAGCAATGGCTACTTGCTCTGCAATAAAGACTCTCTTACATGCCTATGACTTCTCCTATCTTCTCTGTCCAATACCCAGCATCCATGAAGGTCCAGTCTCTGGCAGCGGGGCTCGAACCCAACAGGTGGCATAGGTGGGCTGGATAAAGGAGTAAGTACTCCCAACAACTGGTTCAGGAGAATGTGCAGACTCAGGAGCAAGTGCTCCTGACAACTGGCGTCATGAACAGGATCAAGGAGAAACTTACTCTGACAACTGGCGCGAGCAGGGTGAGCAGGGTTCAAGAGTAAGTACTCTGACAATAGTGTATGACACCTGACATTCTCTGGTTTATCTGCACCAGGATGAAGCTCCATATACAACAGGGGCTTTACCTGCCTCATGCACTGCTGAGTCCCCTGCACCTACAACAGGGCTGGGCAGACAGCAGGCACTTGACACATGTCTGCTGAATTTAAGATAAAATACTTAATTTGACTGGGTCCCCTCGGGGGGAGAGTGAGGGGAAAAAATCTTGCCTCTTAGGTCACTTAAATTATTGAAACGCACCAATACTATATATTTAGACATGAACAAGTTAAGTTCTGGGCATAGTTAAGAAGCAGTAGCATAGGCAAAATTCTTTCATTACCAAACTCTCCCATCAAATTCATGAACAGAGTACATCTTGCTCAGTGGGCCAGCTCTCTGCAGAGCTAGGCACAGAGTGAACCCCTCCAGTGAAAACTTAGTTTTGCCTGAACAATCCTTATTGCATTACAGTATCTCTACTCTTATCTTTCTGACATTTCTAAGGCTACCCAGACTGCTTATTCTTTGATCCTTGAGGAAAAACTGTGAGTTCAACACAAACAGTCAAATGCCATTCAATTCAAGAGCTCAGTTTCCTGCATCAGTGTGACTCAGACTGGTTACTTTACAGCCTAAAGAAAGAAGCATCAACATCATAATACGCTCATTCGAGAAGTTCTCTATAGGGAACCCAATGTCTTGCAAGGAAAGGACATTTCTGGGTGGGTGAGTGGTCCATTCTTCACCTACCCGGGAGGAGCAGCGAGGTCCTTTGGCTTAAGAATCAGACTTGTGCTGCAGCTTCCCTCTGGTCCTAGGAGACCCCATTCCTTATCTCCTAGGCTCTGCTTCCCCTTTGTAAAATGCAGATGCCAGCCTATCCTTAGGCTACCTCACAGACTTGAACTGTAGAGCAAATGGCATATGGGGAGTTTTGTAAAGTATACTTGCAATTCAAATTAAAGAAAGAGTGGTAGACGAGACCATGTGGTGGGCCAGTTCTATTGTGGCCCAACATTTCATTAAGTCCAAGATCAGACTGGCTCACCCCTATGACCTTTATACTGCTGAGGCTATACCTCTAGCTTTATCCTGCTCCTCCCAGCTCCCAGCTCTCATTCTGTTTGGGAAAGAAGGGGAAATTAGAAATAGAAGGAAAAGAGTTGCAATTGGAAAATTCTTCCGCCAAGATTTTGAAATTAGCCCTATACTTCCTGACTTTTCAGCATTAAAATTCTCAACTTTTCAATTGCAGGATTAGAGTTTACATTAATCTTCATAAACTTGGCTCAAAATAACCCCCTCACCAAAAGTCTCAATATTTTTGTCCTGTAAAATTCTGAAACGGCTATCCTAACTCAGAGATTGGCAAACTATGACCCACACACCATATCTGGGTGTTCTGATAAAGAACACTGTATTTGATCCCAGCCACACCGATTTGTTATGTGTTGTTTATGGCTGTTTTCACACTGTAGAGGCAGAGTTTTCTAGTTGGGGCTAAAACTGGCCCATGAAGCCGAAGACTATCTGATCCTTTACAAAAAACCTACCAAATTCTGCTCTAGTTCTACCTGCCTCAAAATATAACAGAAAAGAGCATAGCCCAAGACTGTTAACCCACTTTTTCTTCTTCAAAACTGGCAAGGTTTCGCTTTTTAAAAAAGAAATTCTAACAAATCTCACATTTACAGAATCAGCGTTTTTTTTGTGTGTTGGACAAACCTAGAAAAGGTATTTTCCGATTTATCATCAGTGGGAAAAGTGTATTGTCCCACACATCCATATCTATTATGCTGCACTAATTTTACATACGCTTCTCAGGAAAACATTGAATTCACAAGCATACCGCCCTCAGTCCCAAAGCAATTTCTGAAAAGAGAACCAGCTTGAAAAGTGGGGCCTAAACAATATTCTGTTACATCAAAGAGCACCCAACTATGACTTCTAAAATTTCAACTACTGCAACAATACAATTTCTGACCTTGCTTATGAATGTGTATAAATCCTTCCTTATATCAAATATTTTTAACTTAGAACACTAAGCTAAATATATCCAAATAAAGAATCACTCAAAAAGCAAAACATATATCCAATTTAAGTTTTTAAAAGAAAATGTGGTTACTCACTGAGGTAAAGGGTGAGGATCCTTATTTCCCAGCCCTGACCCCTTCAGGTGGTGGATTAGCTTTCTCTAGTTTGAATTTGGTAGGG